TGTCCCGCATCCACAACTGCAGGGTATGCAGGGGGGGGAGGGATGTGTCCTCAGGGTAGGGCGGGCGGAACCACGCTGGGCTGCACCCCCGCACAGTCTCCACTCCGCCACCTGCTCTGCCCCGCTGCCCACTCCGATCTGGGAGCACACGGCCGCCCATGCCCTGCCGCCGCTCACCCAGCTGGAGCAGGGCAGGTGTGGGGATGGAACCGTGGCTTGTGGTGCATGGCTCCTGCAGTTTGTTATCGCTTGTCTGGAGACAGCGCTGTGGCCCTGTCTCGGACCTGTCCTGCCCTGGCTAGGCAAGTAGCTGGAGGGCATAACCCCTACTCCCAGGCTCACCCCGAGCACAGCCCCATCCCCAGCCCCATGCCCCCCTGTGCAGACCCAGGGGCACACCCCCCCACCATGCCCTCCCGGCAGGAGGCACCAGACGAGCAACTTGCCCCAACCTCCCTCACCACGGGGAGGGGGTCGGGGGGTCTTGATCTGTGCCCCCCCCACATCCTTTCCCTCTCCCCCACTTCTACCACAAGACTTACCAGCTGGACGCAGCTGTATCCAGCATCATAAAGTTGAAACCCACATTGGAAGGTTGAAACAGGGTGTCAATTTATAAATCTCTTAAGTGCCATTGGTCAAAACTCGAAAAGTCGTAAGTTGAGGACTGCCTGTATACTCTTTCACTATTTAAGGAAATTTTTTTCCACTTTTGCTAAGATCTTTAACTATAGTTATAATATATAAAAATCAAATAATTTGGAATTAAATTGATTTTCAGCATTACCAACCTAATTTCTCGGTCATGAATTGAAGGTGAAAAGGAGACATCCAGTTTTATTCCACAGTTCTTTACCGATTGTTGTATCTCTTCTAGGGCACTTGTTTGCTGACTCTTTTCACTGCCCTGTTAAGAATAAAAATTGCTTTGTTTCTGTCCCACTCTTGCATGTGTTGTAGCTATTTATCTTGCTCAATTTACCAACTCCATGAAGGAAGCCAGCAACACATTCTGGACAAGGACTTTGGTCTTTCCCCTTATCCTGCTGCCTCTCCAGTTCACTGGATTAAGATTTAGGATAAAAGGAGTCCAATGAGAATGAAGGATTTTAACTTGGTGTAATTCCTAAGTGACAAATATAATCAGGCCTTCCTTAATATAATGTTTGTCAGCTGAGTTTTAATGGTTTTTCATAATAAACATGCAAATTGGACAGTACAAACATTTTTCAGTGTCATTTCCACGTAAGATTCCATGGTAGACTTTATTAGATGTGGGTAAATATTTGAAATTATAAAATTCTTGGCTTATGTTAAATTCTCTGAAAAAAGTACAGTGCTTTCCTTACGTTCCTATCTCCCTTCTTGCATTTCCTATAAAACACGGGATATCCATTTGATAAATGGCAACAGGATTAAAAAAAACTAAACAGGATTAACAAAACCTACACAAAAATGCAGATAATACTTACTTCACCACAAGAAGTGAGGAGATGGATTGTTTTCACTTTGCAGGGCCCTTTAACAAGCATCTCACAGAATCTTAAGAAGTTGTACAACTGTAAAAGTTACAGTTTATTAAAAACTACAAAAAAAATCTGAATTATATCTACAAGTCAAATTCAAAATCCACTTGCCTGATGAACATGCCTAATATAAGGATCCTCTACCCAAACTTCTGTAACTGTCTCATTAAGGTACTCTTGAAATAGTTTTTCGTAGCTAAAACCCATTGCATCCTCTTCAATTTTAATTTGCTTGTGGTATTTACCATCTAAAAAAGGAGAATCTTTTCACTAAACAAGACAGCAGTAATGCACATGCATAATTGAACTGCCACGTGATCTTGTAACTGTTCATATTCACAAATACATCGTCTCTTTACATTTAAATTCCATACCTTCTATCTCTTTTTCAATATGCTTCTTAATCTGTTCAGCTCTATTAATGTACTCAGTTATTTTTTGTCTGTAATGAGATTTTTTTGTTTCATCCTTTGTTGCTGCGAAGCAAAAAAGACATCAGATTCACACACTAGTTTTCAAAGAATGTAACGTAATTCATGCTTTTCATATTTTATTGTGTTCATCTCAGATGGGCTTCTTTAAGCACACTGAGATACTTCATTTAGTGGTTTCCATGCTAAATGCACTGGATGCTTGTCAAGGGACACTTCTCCAAATAAACTGACCCTTCAGGAGCTGGAATCTTTTGCATGTTGTTTGGTAAATTTAAAGAGTGTCTATAAATACTCACTTACCAGCTACTAATAAGCAGGAATCTGGGTTTTCTGTTCACCACGGAAAAACAATTTTCTCTTTTTAAGGACAAAAACGCAGATTTTCTCCAAAGGAGAAAAACATGGGAAATGGTGGATTTCCCCTTGCAGCCTGGCAGAGTTCCAGCCGCCAGGGGCTGCTTGTGGCTGGGGGGAGCAGGAAGAGAGTGATCTGGCAGGGGGTGCCGTGTGCACACATGCATGTGGCAGCCTGGCAGTGCAGCTTCCTCCAGGTAATTGGAGGGGAGGGAAGGAGGCCCCACACAGTGAGGCAGGGGGGGTGGTATTTTTAGTAATATATTTTGTATTCCAGGTCAAATCATACCCATTAAGCAGAAGCCAGTCATTCCAAAAACCATATCAATGGAGCAGGCAGAACTCACCGTTCTAAACACCAGGTGTGGCGCTACAACCAGCAAGCATCCTTGACCCCAGGCTCTCACCCTGGGACTTTAGATACTCCCAAAACCATTGGCAGGCATCCCACATGCAAGCCCAAACCCAAAGGTCTTGGGATTCAGATGCCCCTACTTGATCTTAGCCCATAAGAAGTCAAGGGAGGGAGTCAGGCAGGGCTGGGGTTTGGGGCACTGCCCAGCCAAAGCAACGTGTGGGGCCCAGGAGGGAATGCGCAGCCATAGGGCCCAGGTGGGGAGTGGGACTAAGCCACAGGCAACTTGTCCAGGGATGGGGTGGTGGTGGGAGGATGGCTCCCTGCCACTGTGCACATTCCCAGAAGGGGCATGGAGGGGCACATACCCCATGACTTTGTCCACAGGGTGGGTGTGGGCTGCTCATTGCAGGCCCAGTTGGTGGGACCAAACACTGCAAGGCAGAGTGGGGCAGGGAGGCTTGGTGCCACCACCAGGAGCCCCATGCTGCCCTGGCGAGCTGCCCCCTGCCTGCCGGGCAGCAGCGGGTTCCCCGGTACAGAGTTGTCCTTACCTGGCAGGGGAAATACCCTGACCAAGGTAATGCAAGTAAAGTGGCACTGTGCAGTGGAGGGTTGCAGCCTTGTCTGCTTGAGGACAGGGCTCCCTCCATAGTCAGCTTCCCAGTGCCCAGCTTCCCAGGGGAGAAATGGAAGACTTCTCCCTAGCTTGCTCCTCCGGCCACTCAAGCCAAACCCCAAGCTTTTGGGCTTGCACAGGGACGCCCGCCAAAGGATTTGGAAGCATCTGAAGCCCCAGGCAGGGGTGGAGGATGTTCCCAGTAGTAAGGCCACATTTGGTTCTTGAATGATTTGGGATGGACTTGGCTGGTTTGACTTGGACGTGAAGAGTTTTCCTTTAACAAAAAAATCAGGTGAAGGGGCTGCAGCCCGGCGGCTCCGGGTAGGCACATGCCGGGCCTCCTTCCGCTCCCACAAGGGGCAGGCGTGGGGGTGCGCGTGAAGCCTGTCACATACGCGGTCCGGGGACGGGACGTGACCGAGTGGGGAGGGAGG